CGTAAAGTGCCGTATCTTAGGTTGGTCCGAGAACAATAATATTTACCTTCTTCATTAGAGATAAACAAACCTGTAAAGTTAAGCAATAGTACTAAGCACATTCACTTAGCCCAAGGTGGAACAGAATACTTATTCAAAGAGCCAAGTAAGCATAAAAACCTAGAGCGAACCTATGCTTAGTGTACCATTATGTTGGTGAGATAACTAACTAAGGTAAAATATAGCCTAGGGAAAATAAAAGTACATAATAACATGTCATGTTTAATCACATTGTTCGCCACTAATTCAGCAAAATAATTCTGAAGTCACACAAAACTAGCAAATGTGAGTCGCATTCGCCAACGATGGATTCCGTACCGTTGCACAAGATGGCATTGGCAGTTGAAAAATACAGCGACTGTCAAGGTCGGACAAGATCACTTTTCTTTAATGACATAGCGGCGATAGAAACATGCACTATACCTACACTGTAAAATTTAAGTTGTGCTTTTTGCTTGATGAGGTATTGCTCCGAATGCTATACGGACGGACAACGGAGAACAAAAGTAATTAATTAGGTACAATGTTTTCTTGTTACTACAGAAGAGTGAATCAGATTTCTCTAGTCAATGTCTATCACCATTTGGGTATGAAATCCTTTCGGTGCCTCAAGGAGCTTAATAAAATGCCCAATTCTTAATCTAGTCATTCGAATGATTTGATCAAACTTACTCATATGTAATGTGAAATCTGTATGAGCAAAATAGAGTGAAGTAAATGTTAAAAGGATGGCAACCAAACGGCTGATAGTCTATAGACGCTTGCCATATTAGTTTCAATCGCTTATAGCTTAAAAGATAATAATAAAAACAATCATTCACGTTTCAATATGCCTGCTCCACTTATCTGTCTACTCAAAATAGCTGGAAACTCCGTTTTTTATTTCAGCAAGTTTTTTTCTGATAGGTGTAGCTTTTTAAATTAACGTTTTTCTTGTTATTTTGTATTAACGACGGCAGTTCTCGCCGTATAAAACACTAAACACAAGCATAACCTTCAGGTGTTTTATTAAACATTTGGAAATGCTTTTACTACATTTTCATAGCCTACTTCACTAGTACTTAGCTGTTTGTACATTTAATTATAAAGTGATTATTTTTCTGCGTGTTCATAGCAACTTTATAACCACACATCTTTTTAATAATTGACAGGTAATAAGGGAATTATTAGGTACCTATAAATCAACAATTAAATGCAACAACTTTTTTAATACTCTGTAGATCCTTTCTTTGTTTCACACTTAGTTGTGTTTTCTGTTATTCATTAGAAATAAGGAAGTATATAAATCTAAATTATTAGATTTCAGCCTAAATCTTTTTACGTAACAATCATAATAATATGCAAGTAATAAAAATATGGTAATAATAAGTTATCATAAGCCTACTGGATCACCTCAGTATGCATCGGTTATATGCTTGGCTAGCGAAAGGCCGCCAAGCAGGTCGAGACCTTGAATATGCGCAGATTTGAATCGCGGGCGCAGCGTGTTCTGGGTCGTACGTGTTACACCACCACACCGACACAAAACAGATAGGTGCAGAAGTCAATCTGTAAATAAGGTGCGCTCGAGCAATGCACACATAGATACCGCTAACGGACACGTTATGGCATTGTCCTAATACAACGCGATAACGCGATCGCGCGTTTAAACGATGCGACCATCGCGTGATCGCGAACTGGGTGTCCTAATAGAACGCGAATACGCGATCACGATTTACGCGAATACGCGATCACGATTTACGCGAATACGCGATCACGATTGACACACAGTTTGCATTGCATGTATGGATGAACTATGTAGCTGCCCCTCTCCCCGCTTCCTATCGACGCGACGTGATCATCGCGCGAACTTCAGTTTTCATCATTAATAGGTTTGATTGCGCGTTATAGATTTTTAAACATTTTACTCGCGCGAATGCATCGCGATCGCCTATTAAGACACGTATTCTAGATCAATATGTTGGATCTTCAACTCGTACGATGATCGCATCGCTCATTCGCGTTATCGCGTTGTTTTAGGACAATGCCTATCGCGGGACCTATGCGAGCGCGAGTGCTATCCGCATAAATCCATCTGTGAACATTTTATTGTTCAAAAATGGAGCACCAAAAAAAATTTGTAACTGTTTAGTGGAAGATTGTTTGAATTCAACATTAAACCGTGAATTTTCGCTTTTTTAATTTGTAATATAACAATAACGTTAAATTAAAAATGTTTTAATTACTTGTTAGTTTCGTTTTATATTTCCGTTCTTCCTGTTTCATTCTCAACAATAATCACAGAACTAGACTAGATGCGAGTGATACTAACAGGAGTTCTTTTTTGTACAAGCCAAAGATAATTACCGTAGCGCGAATGCCGAGCGTGAGCGTGCGTATAAAAAGTAAACTTGTGATTTACTTCTGTGCCTATCTGTTACGTGACCAAACTCAACCTCATATCGATCGGTCGCACGCAAGTCTCGTTTCGGCTGAAAATAAAACTACTTTTTCACCTTAGCATCTTCCTTGCATAATCGTTATCATCGTATTGATGGACGTGCAAATTGTGCCGTTTCTTAATACGACAACATCTCAACATTAACTTCTTCATAGTATATTATCTATCCATCTTTGTCAAGAGCCATAGACAACTTCTTACATTTGCCTTAACAAAAATTTGTTCTATCTTATGGCTCAAAAGACTGTTATTTGCTCAGTATACTTATAGCTTCCTATGAAAAAGATTGCGTAAGTAATAGTTATTATGTCCAGTATATACATTTTCATCTAGCTAGGTTTTCTAAATAGTTTCGAAATTGTAAAGAAAAAATAATGTTAAAATTACATCATCATTCCTGTCTTCAATTTATATCTATTAAATACATTTTATAGATAGTGAAAATAATGCTGGCGGTTGGTGAGATTTTTTATGAAAATAATTATTAAACTGTAAAAAAAATGTTAGTACTATATCATTCCATCGTCTTCTCAAACATTATTTTTATGTTTTATGGAGTATTTGTCAATGGAAGAAAAAGGTGGGAGGCATCTACAACTCTGATTTTATTTTTTATTTTTTGGGGCGTTTAACGTGTTTTGGAACATCTATAAATAAATATACACAAAAAATATTAGTGACGCACTCCCTTGCAGCTATCGTCAGGTAGTAAAATACTTCTTTCTGCCTTCGAAAAGACAATACCGATTTTTTCTGCCTTTTTCATTTTTATGCTTCATACCTAATAGAAATAGTAGACTTAAAGGCAGAAACGATCTAATTTAAAAAAAAAATATCCAATATAATATAGTGGCAGATGTATTTTTTTTTATCTCTTATAATAAAGTTGCAATAATTATTTAAGTCTGTCTGCCGATGAAGTAATTTATTTTTTTATATATTAGATATAATATTTAGAAATAAAATACTGTAAAACACAACAGAAAAAGCTTCTGCCACTAGTATTTTTTTTAATTATATTAAATGCATTCTAAGACTATATACAGATGCGATTATATCGTTTATGACACTTATCAAAAAATATCAAATAGGACCTATTTGATATTGCAGTAATTAATTAATGTTTAAAATAATTATTGTACTTAATACTTTTATATTATCAACCTCTGTCAGACGATGAAATCATTTAAAAATTACTGCCACCAGCTCCTTAGCTAGTCTGTTTATCGGTTAAATTTTTGAAACAGTTTTTACTAGCAACAATCCAATCTTGAGAACAATAAAATTATATTTATATTCAAAATGATGTAATGAAAGGTGACTTGTCATTTTTCAACTTGACGACTCTGTATATAACATTACAGGGAGAAAAAAACAGCCCTTGCTGAGTTTCTTGCCGGTTCTTCTCAGTACAAGGTCTCCCGCCGTAGTTTTGCGAACCGATGGCGTAGCTTCTTAACCTTCACAAGTGCTTGTAACAGCCTAGACTGAATAAAATGACTTCATTTTATTTTCATTTCATTTCAATCGACTGCAAAATGGAATCCGCATGTACTATTTAATGTAGGTAATTATTAATGTGTAACATCTTTTCTCTCGCTTTCCTGCAATTTGTGGGAGTGATTTCGTAAATTGGGACGGAAGTGTGTAATCGGAAGTCGCGAATGCGCGCGCTATTTGATTTGATTTGATTTTAGAACATAATTTATTCCTTTTGTAGTAGGTTTTATTTCTTTTTATACTAATATAAGGTGAGGTTTCAAATGTTACACATCATACGCGACTACGGTAAGGCTCGCTCGTTTTTTTGTATTTTACTCACTCATAAGTAGTTTTGCACAAAGAAAGAACCATTTGGGATTTACTTAATACCGGTTACAGTAAGCGCGGTAATAATAAACGAAAAAGCGTTGTAATGTTAAATATAATTATTTAATGTTTTATATCAAAACTGCGCATTAAATTAGGAAAAGATGAGAAGAAATAACAGTCATTAAATTTATAGATCACTATTATTATGATTAGAAATCAAAATGTGTTTTCAGTACCAATGCACCTTTATGTAGCTGTAGTCACTGATTGATCATAACCCTGCCGTGGCTGATATACCTTCGTATCTATTAGATATAGACACAGATTAGTAAAGATTAAACGCGGGGAGATAAAATTATTAAGTACCAAAATAAATATTAATAATATTAATGCATTACATACAATACTTATTTATTTAACTGCAAAACAATACTAACTTAACTTACATTTAGATAATTATTTATTGTGAAACAGTCAAATATCATAAGTTTCAAAATAAAAATAGGCCCAAAATTAATAAAATGAAAAGTATTTATTTTGAAACTATAATTTACTGAATTAAATTACATCCATTACATATATAACTAAAGATGTCATTTAATATTTAGAAATCAAAATAATCTTTATTAGCCGGAGTTTACAAGACCTTAAGATATCCAAAATAGTTTCATTATAATATAGCTATACTAAAATATAATTTTCTTCACAGATTAGCAGTAGTACTACGCGATTATTGCAAGACAACGCTCATCAAGTAAAACAATTGAAAGAGAATGATCACTCCGCAGCAGTGCATTTTGCATGTGACGTTAACAATGATATTGTTAAGCACAGGTTGGTAAAGAATTAATAACAATATTAATCTAGATACGTTATTAATAATAATAATAATCTCTTTTGTGGTATAACTACAGGAGACGAGGAGACAATGCGAGGCATTCAATCAATAAAACAATAAACAATCCAGAAAATAACTAAAGTTTTAGTTGTCAGACTATATCTTTAATTTGCACAATTAAATATAAATACAGTTCAGACCATTGATTGGTAAAATATCGTAACTGAAACAAAAACAATGACTATCAAAGTAAGATATTGATATAACTTTAATATTTCAAGCTGATCTTGTATAACCAGGTTAGTCACATGAAGATTATTTAAACAATTTAAAATTGTGATACTTTCGCTTTGTATTTCATTTAAAAGACATTTCAGATCATACTCTTCTATTTTGTATATTGGACAACTCTGCCAAATGTCAAATAATTCCTCACTTGTCATATTAAGTTTTGGTAATTGCAAAGTAGTAACTAAAAACTTCTCCATAGTTAAATCTTGAAACGTGAATGAACTAAAGTCATGTTGCACAACCATAATAACATCTCGCGAAGAATTTACATCCAAAATCCCGTAAACAGGATTTATATAAAATATATCGGCCGAATTACACCTTATTTCGAAAAAAATTGGCGATCCATGTATATTTGTAATTGATATATCGACAGATATAATAAGTTTGTTTTCATTTCCTTTGAAAACTGTGGTATGTTTTGCTTTCAAATAAATCATCTCTTTGTTATTCTTATTATGCTTCACATATTTATAATCAGTTATTCGTTGCACAGTATTTTTTCTTTCAGGAACAAATTCAAATACGTAATCTTTATTTCCTCCCCAGCTTTTCAACGCGTGTTCTAGTTGAACTACTTTGCTTAATTTATTCTTCGCCACAAATTTCATTTTCACCGCTGCTCTGGCAGGAAGAAACGATTTGATTACTTTAAATGTTGTGGATAATGCCCACGGCATTTGAAATATTATGATGTAATTTAAAAAGTATGGGTAATATTTGAGAAATAATGTTTTAATAAAACTAACCAGATCCGGGTCCAAATCGTGAACACCACAATTGCTCATGTCACAGAAGATACTAATTTTATTGCCATTTTCTTCTCTTTCCACGCGATCAAGCCAATAAATTAAAATTCTTTTAGACTCTTCTAAATCTTTCTTTGTTTTACTATATACTTTTGGTTTGAAAACGAGTAGGAGGCAACCATCTATGTCTCTGCCGTAAGGAAAAAACGATCCTTCTTTGACATATTTCATGTTGATGTTATTTTCATTAATATTACTGGCACCGACAGTTTTTCTCCACACAAGCAAGTTCCAAAGCATATCCAGAGCATCGCTCGTATTATTGTTAACATGTGCCAAGATCCTCATCAAATATTTATCATTATCCACACGTTCCAAATCAACGGGATCAAATTTAGCACGAATAAATTCACTTTTTATTTTTTCTTTAAATAGAGTCCTCACTATTTTGGGTGTCGCCATGATAGTGCAATTGAATATAATTCACAAGTTTATCATATTTCTTTAACTTAAATTAGTTTTATAAATAACAACTAAACACCAAACCGTTTACAAAAGCTTATCAATTTATAATGACAGTGTGGAGCAATACATTATTTGTATCAGTATCATTTACGTAATGGTACAGTTTTGGTCAGGCTGTGGATAAGATAGCACTGATATTCTTATATAGTGTATATACTATACGTGTAGGAGTCACGTCATATTATATATATAACATATAACATTTGCATAGGTCATGGCTGGATATCCTAAGGCTGGACGTATATGTACGGTTTCCTGATCAGGAACTCAGATCGGCATTCCGTGAGCCTGGCGCAGACGTTTCGATTTTTTTATAAAGTAGTTTCTGAACCGAACGATAGGTTTTTTTTTTGAAAAAATAAGAATACTGTGCGCCTCGTTGAACATTTTGCATGTAAGGACATGCATTCAGGTCTCCGGTCGAAATTCCTAATCAGGAAATCGAATCAAGAAACCGTACGACGCAAACATTAGCTATTGACTTATTGAAGTCAATAAACAAAATAATAAATATGGCGTAACTCATAATTTTGTATCAATATTAGTCTAAGATCGGAACCTAAATCGACCTTCACCGAGCTGGTAATAAATAAATATATTAAAAATGGGTTGCCTAAAAAAATCCTGGACAGACTATTTTTGATTATTTAAAAAAAACAGTTTATTGAATTTCATGTTGCAACATCAAGATAATAAGAAAATTTTGTCCTGATTTACAGTATAAATAATATAAAAAGTGCAGCCGTTTGGGTTGTCTATTATTAACCTGGGCGAATTACTGGGTTGCCAGGTATAAACGTTACCCAACGGCAGCACATTCTATAAATTTTATAATTTAAGTCAGGACAATATTTTGTTATTGTCTTCATGTTGCAACTTATTTGTTTTTTTTTTAATAATAATAAAAAATAGTCTGTCCAGGATTTTTAGGCAACCCATTTTTAATATATTTTCTAATTACTAAAATCATGATGAAATTTGTTTCATTCTATCATCAGCTCGGTGAAGTTCGATTTAGGTTCGGATCTCCTACTATATTATTAAGGATGAACATATACATTTATAAATTTAATTTGAAACGTTTGTGCAAAACTTTTTTTATGTTAAAAGATCAAGCATAAGGCTCGCCTGATGGTAAGCGGTCACCGAAGCATATATAAATATAGAGGCATATAAATACCCTGACCCAATCCCCAAACCCGTGGAGCAATGGACTTTTACTTACCGACAGAAACACAAGAGCACCAAAAGATTAGTGTTATTTTACTGTGGTTTCTGTAAGTTGGAGATTATTTCCCCAGACGGGTGCTCCATTCCAGCGGGAAATCCGCTTTGCCCTACCCGTCTTCATGTAAAAAAAACTGCGTTATAATACGTACCTAGCTAAAAGTCAAGTTACAATGCAATATTTTGGCGCAACTTAAAGTAATAATTCGTCGGTTATTAAGGACAGAAAATTACCTTGACTAATAATTTTAGATGAAGTGAAAAATACAAGTAGGCAATTCAAGTTGGGTAAGAAACCACAAGAGCGTAACTCGCACACCTATTTGGATGGAAACTGAGAAAACTTAAAACCAATTAATTATGTACGCATGGAATTAATATTGGTGTTAAACAATAACACTATTAATGTTTATGTTTTTTCACTGCTTCTATTTCCTTATGATCATTAAATACTAATTGAAATATATGATAAGTCTATTCATTTTATTTAAATAATAGATATAACTGTCATTGTATTAAAATAATTATAATAATTAACAACAGTTTATTTGTTATTGTATTAAAATAATAAATAAACTGTTGTTAAATAACTAAAGCAGTATATACCAATGACGGCAGCTCAATAATCCAGAACCGAGATTTACAATACGCGAAGTGCAACAACAGGACGCAGACGATGGCTATTACTATCTATGTCTGTCTTCACGTCACGCCGTATCCCAAACAAACCCTATAACCGTGGATAAAGAAAAATATTGTTGATATTATAGCTATTTATGGAGGTGATGAATTTGTTATGCATAATTACATTAAGTAATGATTTTACATAAAGTGTGCTTGTGTACCTTTAACACTGACCTCAATGATAATAATAGTTACCTAATGAAATGGCATGATATAGTTTAAGATATAGTTTGTCTGACTACACTACTAAACAAATCATACAATATCAAAGAAAATAAGGCAACTGGTGCAATGACTGCTACAAATCTGTACCCGGGCGTCGGATCCCGGAAATCGTAACAAAGTGCTTCAAATCTTCGACCTTTTTGAACACACAATGATCCTGGTTCACCAACAACATATATAGGTTCAGCTGTATCACATCTATCTTGACTTTCTTCGAAAAATTTATACCTAGTGACCAATCTCATAATAAATCCCCTTGTACCATTTGAATAATCACCGAGTTTTTTTCTCAGTCGTGTATGCTTGTATACGTCACCTAAAGATTTCATGTTCCAATCTTTAGGTATTGGATTTTTTTTTGATCTATTAAAGAGATATGATTCCATATCAGTATAATTGTCAATAACGTTCACTGGATGCAAATTGAGTCTAAAAGATTGCAAGAAATTCATACTTGTAACATCACCGATATTTTCACCTAGTCTTTGTGTTATATCTTTGTGTGGTATGAGTCCACAATAATATCGAGTATTGAGAAAGAATGGTGCACCTGGGGCAAAATTGCATACTACTCTGGCATCTCCATTCTTTCTTTCAGCGTACGCACAACCTATTTTGTTAGTCTCAGCCCAAAATAATTGTGTTGTACTATAAGTATAACTATTAGTGTGACCACAATTCACATCAGTTGCACTTAATTTTTGTTTACCGCTCATAAACCAAGAGTATAAGCAACCGATTATTGCAGGAATGAAGCATTCATCTTTTGGTATACTGAAACAGAATACATGTACTTATTAATTTCCAAAATCCAAATGTACGATCACCTAACGTTTTTTTAACATTAAGATATTATCGTAATGTTAAAAAAAATTACAAACAAGACCAAAACCGCCAGACCTTACTTCTTTTCTCATGGACAAAATATGGATAATCGAGTAGTATTAGTGTCTATAATGAATGTATAAATACTTGCTAACTTACGCTAGGTGAACTCAACAGACATTAATAAAATACCGGTCAAGTGCGCGTCGGACTCGCGCACCGAGGGTTCCGTACAAAACCTGAATTTTCAAAAATATTTTTGAAGTGAAAACTTCTTTAGCGGCGTTGTACACTTTTTTTGTAATGGGTAAAAAAAAGAAAGTAATATTTTTACGTGCCTGCGCCACCTGATACCTGCAAATTTGTCCACAGTACAAATTAGCGAGTATGTACATGTGTGTTCATTGTACACACTAATGCTACTCGATTATCCATATTATTTTGCCCATGAGAAAAAAGTAAGTGCTGGTGGTGCTGGGATCCTGTACTATAATTAAGTGATCGATAATGTCAATCCAACTATCCTAACCGACTTCCTACTAATGTTATAAATGCGAATGTTTGTATGGATTACTTTTTTACTCTAAAACGGCTGAACGGATTTTGACGTTATTAGGCATATATAATAATTTGTCACCGAGATTGACACATAGGATACTTTTTATCCGAGAAAATGTAAGGTTTCTGTGTCAAAAAACTAACTTTAAGGCGAACGAAGTCGCGGGCGCAAGCAAGTCTGTATATATTTTTGGCCCTATTAGGGTAAGAACAAAGCCGAAAGTCATTTTAAGCTCTATTTCCATAACATTATTCGTGCTCTAATAAAACTGAGAGGAAAAAGCGGAACATGAATAATCGTACGACAGGGTCGAATAATAACATATCGGTATATAATCTCCTGAAGTTACAATACAATTAATTCAAGATAGGCAAGGCGCAGGCACACATTGCACCATCGTACTCTTTGTTTGCAATGGCTGTAACTTTAAAGCTCTAACTGTACCAAGAGATGATCTTTTATATCAAATTGAATTTTACGAGAAATTAATATCATAAAAACGTCATATTACAATAATATAAGTTGCTCACCATGTGGATGTAAAGCTTTTATAAGTTTCCAGGCAACATTTTTCAGAATACTTTGTGCATTCTAATTGTGTGACTAAATTCCCATCGAGAGCTGAACAAGGAGCGGGACCAGGTAGACATTGACGGAGCCATGCTGCAGACATTTTTTCCAAATCATAATCATATATGATTTGCCTCATGTTTGCAGCAGGAGGCAAATGTGAATATTCTTCAGAAACGCCATTTGCAATACGATTCCTCATCGAATTAATAGTATTTACTAATGCCATCTGAACTGACATGATCGGTGTTTTAACTGTATATTTCGAATCACATATTTTGGCAATTTGTTTAGTTTCAGGGAAAAGGCAGAGAGTATGATCTCCATAACAGGGCTCCACCCTACACCACTTATTGTGACTGTCAGGATCTCGAAAACGGGACGCTATGTTTAAGTTTCTTGGTGGTTTTGCAGTATCCAAATTTCGGACGTTTTTTAAAGTGGCCCCCTTAATTAAAAATACGTCAGAAGATTTTTTGCGGCTAGCCAATTCACCATAAATTACAGGCATATGCCAACAAGGATATTTTTCAGGGACATACCAAATATTGGACGAAGAATTTTCATAATTGATACTTAGATTTGGCATTACCGCAGCCGGTTCGACATTATAAAAATCGGCCAGGAAATTTGTCGACATGTTTTCATTTCGTTCTGTCGTAACAATACTTGGTAATAGTTCATTTATCGAATAACCATTGTTTTTTAACGTCTCATTGTTTGTAGTAGAATCATCATCATCATATAAGTATTCGTATTCTTTAAATAAATAAACAGTTTGATTTTCTTTATTTTTGATTGTTTTTAATTCGTTTTGTGTTGTCCACGTTGGACGCTGAGTTGGTTTTAGAATTAGAAGTCTATTATATATTTTAGATATGTTTAAATTTTCCGAAATTTTCGTTTCTTTTACAAATGCTTTAAGATTATTAACAGAAGTATCATGGCCTCCAATATTATTATCTACTGAAGTATTGTATCCCTGCCAAGTCATTTTTTCAACATGTCCAATATGAGTGTTCGTTCTGCGAGCATCAGTCAAATTTATGAGTGTTTCTTCTGTAACGCTATACTCGCTTTCGATATATTCTTCAGCTACAGAATAGCAATATCTTGCTAATACGATACAGATAAAATACTTAATGGACCACATTTCAGAAATTAGTCAATGCAGTGACCATCGCGATTTCAAAATAAATGAGTGCTAAAATAAATCCCAATAACGTGGGGAGAAAACGCATGTCAATGGAATAAAAAAATCCGAAAATCTTATAACTAACAGACAGAAGAATAAAGCGTGCGATAACCCTATAACGAGAAGTAAAGAGTCACCGTCGTATTTATAAACAAGGTAAAGCGATAACTTCTGCTTAAGCAATTACCTGAACAACATTTTTGATTTCATAGTTAAGAAATTGATCAAAGTAAGAACTGTCAAAAATTAGAACTAAATGAATGAAACCATTTTCGTTGCTAAGTAACCATTTGTTTTATTAAAGACTTCTAGTGTGAAACAGTGACTTGGTTACGTAGCAACAAATTAATTACTTAGCTACAATCGATTATTTGTTTATAAATATGAGTGTTAGTCCTGAGCGAAACACTTTTTATGTGAAACAATGGTCCAAAATTAAATCATGACCTACAAACATGTACCCCCTTATTAGTAAACGAAGAATAAGTTGGGATTAGATAATTCATGTTTTGTCTCTGTTCGTTGAATGACAAATAGCATTTGAGTGACATGAACAAAACACGATGTAACTAGTCTAACCATATTCCTTGTTTATTAATAAGAGGGTTAATGATTTATACGAGCAACTAAATTATTTTTTATTAAACAGATCATAACATATATCTAAAGTACCGTACAACCAGAAATTGGTCAAGTTATCCAAAACCATGGAATTTCTCCTTTTTTTGTTTGTTATAAGATTCATAATCAATTGAAAATACTTGGCACCGCATGACTTTTGTACAATTTAATTCTATCTCATTTTAGTTCTATATACGTAACACCAATGTGCAAATCTTATTATTATACTTTCAACGCAAGTGTTCGTAATATTTCTGACATGTAGTCTAGGGGCCAATGACATTTCTATAGGTCATCGGTGTCGTGACGTGACCTGCATGTTATGAATTATGATTTATGAATCGCACATCGTCGCCTACACAAGATTAATCCGTTGATAATAAGAGATCAAATTTATTGTAATTAAATGGAATTATACTTTATTATTCAAATTGAATAATTTTACAAATTCTTTTGGACAAACTAATATTTTCCACCACCTATTCAAAACAAGAAGAATGAGACTTTCAGCTTATAAGAAGAAGGGGCGCAAGAAAACTAACAAAATAATGTAGTTAGATTAGATTAACATAAAACCGTGGCGTTAGATATAAAACTAGTAAGTGCCACCGCGACGTCGTCGCCTACACAAGATTAATCCGTTGATAATAAGAGATTAAATTTATTGTAATTAAATGGAATTATACTTTTGTTATTCAAACTGAATAATTTAACAAGTTCTTTTGGACAAACTAATATTTTCCACCACCTATTCAAAACAAGAAGAATGAGACTTTCAGCTTATAAGAAGAAGGGGCGCAAGAAAACTAACAAAATAATGTAGTTAGATTAGATTAACATAAAACCGTGGCGTTACATATAAAACTAGTAAGTGCCACCGCAACGTCGACGAAGGTTGTCAAAATAATGCTCAAATTTCTAAGCAAAAAAAACTAAGTATCAACCACGAAATACACACTTTCTTACGTGTTATATTTCCGAATTACAATAATAATTTAAGCGGCTGCTTTGATGTGCAAATATGACAGTAATAATTATACTGAAATGGAAACATTTATTTATCTCATGTTGTCGCACTTTTGATGCTCTACCAATAACAACACACGGATGTGACGCCAAGGTTATGAAACTTATATGAAACAGTTACTTGAATTCTCCAGTCCAGCGATGCATTTCTTCAATATCCTGCAAGGATGACATTTACAAGACATTTCAAGGTTAAGAATTTCTTTCGTCTACAGCTGCCACTATATAGAAAGGTATCTACTCTACGCCATTAATGCAGTGTCGAAATGTCATATTAAAGATTATTATCACGAATCACACTATTCTCATGTTAATGGTAATGGGTATGACAAAAGGCCAACGTCGTCACCTTGACACTCATTCTTCCTAAACAAAGCTTATAATGACGACATCTAAAACACTTCAAGTTAATAATACAATAAGTATACATCGCTTATATGTGTTCTTCAAATGATAACTTAAACACTATTAAATAATAGATAGTGTTAAAAGAAGATTTACTGTGGATCTCCATTGATTTAAAAATACATTTTTGCTATAAGGCTTGCTGCTCCCATTTAATTGACTGAAAGGACTATTGTAAAAAAAAAATGACGGGTTGCACTCCGGGAGTGCCGGCAGAAGTGAAAACTTGAATATAAACGTTGTGCATTTTTGATATTTTGGAATGGTTAGAGAATAATTTTGCACGAATTGCTTTAATTATCAGTATAAAAGTACTATCATGTATGTGGTAGAATAGAATATTAATTTATTGCGCTATCGCACACAAATATGACAATTTATATTACATTAAAAAAGTTTATCTCTCAGAAAAATCAACTTACATGAATAACATTTATGCGCACCTATCGACAGGTTTTGTAAAAAATAATGCATTTTCTTCGCAATAAAGCTGCCACGTGGACGTCCTAAATAGAGACTTATTATTATAATATATATTATAAAATAAAATATTACTATGTTTCGTCCAATATATTGAAAGTCAACAACCTTTCCAATTTGATCGTGTGTCATGATGCGATCAGCCCACGTGTTAAACCTGACGCGAGTTTAACATTTTTTACCCATACAAAAAAAATGTACAACGGCGCTAAAGAAGTTTTCACTTCAAAAATATTTAAACCAAAAGCCTCAGCTGCTTATTTTTGTCGCCAATTTATTTCATTATACCTAAGACGTTAAACTTATAAGTAACGAGGCCGTTTGTTTTGGAGTTATAAACGATTTTTTAGACTAAAAATGTATTGAATTCAATCAACGCTGAACATTTCAGGTGTATCGCCACTTCAATGCTACCAGTGCTTGATCAACCCCCCGCCGGGCCAGTACTACAACACGACCAAGAATCTGTGCGTGCACTTCGACTACTCCGACAAGTTCATCGTGAACTGCCCCTACTCCACGATGTGCATGAAGCAAGATTTCCGTCTGAAAATATTGGGAGGAGGTAGGTACCGATAATATACCATTTTGAGTCAAAAATCCTTTTGTGTAATAAAATGTAAATTGCGTAAAGATTAATAAAAAGAACATGGTCATGGTCAATCAAAGCAGCTAACCTAATCCTTTTAATTCATTTTCCTTTGTCCGTATTGGCAAATGATAACGATCCGCTGATTGGACATTCATCAAGTGTCAAAAACAATGAAATTTCCTAATGGATTCGAAAAGTCTTCATATTACATTTCATTTAAATTTCTTTTCTCTCTCTCTCTCTGTGTGTGTGTTTCTTTCTTCAAAGTCAAATATCAATCTTTAATCAGATCGCAATATGTTTATAAAAAATAGATAAAATTTTGTATTAGCAAATGTCAGTCTTGTATTGGTGTCGTCATGAGTTCATGAAACACATTCACGAAGCCGGAAAATAACCATTTGCAACTTGTTATGTATTTATCATCTCATTTCAGTCAAAATAAGAAAGGTCGTTAAATATTCAATGAAACAGCAGTTTCTCATTTCAAATTGTAGCTATAAAATACAAATAAATGATGAGTAAGTTATGGCGATATATGATTTCTTGATGTATTTTTTATTTGAGTAAAGATAAAAAGGGTTAATTATTTTCTGCTTTTCAGTGTTTTTTTTTTTGGGCTGTTTACTTATTTTTCTTAATAGTTTTTATATTGTTATTTTTTTGTGGCTATAATTTTTATATTATACAACTCGGCATCAAAATCTGTAAGTCAACAAGTTTATTCATTTCGTCGCTTGAAAATTTGGAGTCTGCCGGAGACTGGCTACAGCTCTCCATAAAAATTTGAGGACATGGTTCAAATTTATATTTATATATTTCTATAGAAGATGGAGCTAAAAACAAACTCATCTAATGTCCAATTGTGAAAAAAATTTACACTGCATAGATAAGAAACGCATTAGCCATCCCCGCGTAGGTCTAAAGGCTGTATGGAGTTGCTAGAACTCCATACAGGAACACACCACTACTAACATAAAGCTGTTTCATGTTTATTTAGTTTTCAATGTGCACGCTTTATTATTACAGTAACCATTGAAGGCGTTCTTCGTGATTGCGCATCACAGAAGAACGAATACCACGACTTCCGAAACGGAAAATGGTTTCCTACAATGGAAGTTCTAGAGCCATACGAAGAGGGCTGTCAGGAAGTAGACGACAAAGGTGAAAGGACCACTTCTTTTAACAGGTAAGTAACCACACTACAATTAAATGTAACGATTTTCCGAAATATAACTTTTTCTTACACACAATCAATTAACTAGGAATTCTAAAACTTTTGTAGACAAAGCAGATATAGACGAATGAGCTAATAATCAATCAAAAAGAATTTTAATGAATAAGCTATCAACTATTTTATAAACTTGGTAGTTAGACCATTAGCTATTTATCTATGAGACGATGTTACCTAAATACAAATTAACAAATATAAAGAAATTACAGTTGGTTACATAGAAAAAGTTCCCGTGATACTTGAGAATTAATCGTGTGTTCAAATGCCGTTAATGATATGGTATATGTTTTATTATCATTTCAGGTTCTGTTACTGCCGTCAGAATCTCTGCAACGCATCCCCAGTTACCAAACACGAAGACTATATTGACATCATGGGCGTCATCGTAGTTTTCAACCTAATGAAATACATTAATGGTCTTATGTAGCGACTACTTCAAAAAAATCTATTGTGGATGTTGCAAACAATTGCTTGAGTCCGATTCTAATGTTCCGTACTTACACGGTATTACTCGTAAGCGAGTAAAAACTGACCCGAAAGATTTTTGGTAAGACGTGACGTTGATTTTTACACGGTTTAGAATAAAACTATCGAGTAATAACGTATGTGCGTACGGACCATAATTAAGAAAAGCTCTACAACCAATCGATGTCAAATGTCAAACTCGAGCAATATTGGGCCGAAAGAAGCGACCATTTCTCAAAATAATCGATTATCGACTTTCTTTTCACTGCAAACTAAAGTAGATCATAATTATTTTGATAAATAATTATGATTTACTTGTGGTTAGATCCTTTGTGATTAAAGTATATTTAAATATTTTTTGTTGGGACAGACGATAATTTTATTTTGTTAGTTGATAATGCGAACTAAATCGCCAAAAACTTGTGATATTATGTATAAAAGGTAGTGATGTTTAGGGATCAACTAATGAATCATTTAAGTCTTACTTATTATTACAGACTACCGAGTGAAATATTAAGACAATATTATTTATTTTTATCCTACATTTTGAGCAAAAACATCTTTCCAAATGAATGCTATTTTTACTACAAAATCATCTGAATTTCAATAGATTAATTAGGATACTTACTCTTTATAAATATGTGATAGATAGGGTAGTACAATATTAAACGCAATAAGTAATGTAAAATACACTCTTTATATTGTTTAAAAAAATAGAAAATGTATATATAATATGTTACATGGATTTTAGGTTTAATTAATTGATAAATTGATTTATAATAATTATCCGTGTTTTTAGTGGTTTCAACGGTAACTCTGCCAATTATGTTTTTTCCCTTATTGACACACACTGGCAAAGTTCTATTGAAAATTGAATCTTGAGGGTCCAACGGGTACTAGAACGTTACTGTTACTTTTGCATTGAAAAATATTTGTAAACGTTTCAAGTAACAACTTTTCAAACTACAAAAACTGCTGTTCGCCTAAACTGCTTAATCGATTATCATATTTTTTTGGAGATATGTAATTGGAAACTCTGGGAAAGAATTTAGAATTATGAATACTTACTTGAAATGTAATTTGAAGGAGGTGAACGTTTTTATGTGAATCAAAATAAACTATATTATTACTATGACCCAAGATAATATTTCAGTTTTAATAATATAAAAATCCCTTGCTGTGAGATTGTTAAATAGGTAGGTACCACATTTTGACATTAACATTTTGAAATGCGATATTGAATTGTTATGCTACTGCTATTGTATATTATCAAATCTCGTGAACGTTGAAAAAATACAAGAATAAAAATGTTTAAGAAGAGAATAAAATTTCACATAGTTTAATTTGTTAAATATGAGTCTACTATATCTTAACTGGTAGTAAAAAAAAATATATAACGCAAGGATAGCATTATTGGATAAGAAGCTTTCAAATAATTATATATTGATCTCTAAACGATAATGAGATATTAAATAAATTTGACATTGTAACAATCTTTTCATTTCACAGCTGCACTCAGAGACGTCAATATATCAATATATTTTTTTAAATTCATAAAATTTTAACGCTTTATCACTATCATCACACTCTGTGCGATAACAATACAATAAGATGACACATCAGTTTGACAAGCCATATAATTCATAGACGTCTCTAAGGCTAGTATTACAGAATGACAACTAATGTCGCTCTGTATAGCACATAGCGACATCCCTTTCTCACTCTACTCAAGTAAAGATCAACACTTGGTTGTCATTCTGTAATACCAGCCTAAGTGTAGTAGTCAGCCTCTTAGATTAAAATTGTCTGGATTGTACAAGACAGCGTTGCCAGATTTTTTATTTCCAAGTTGGGATTTAAGAACTTTTTGAATGAAAAAAACGGTATTCTTTCGTCTAAAGCAGGACATAGTAAAAAAAAAGTATATAATATTTTTTTTAAATATTTATTTTTTTATTTGAGTTCAAATTACGTTTACATGACAATAGATAGGTACCTAGTAAAAATATCCATAGATAATGTATTTTGATAAAAATATGATATTTTAAATCAGATTTATCCCATCGTTAAATAGTCAAGTCTTTGTTTGAGAGTTCTTCATTACGCGCCGGGCAGCCCACGTTTGTCTCTGCCTCCGGCCCGCGCTTTCTCAGTACGCACGGGCGAGTTATTCCTGAAAAGCGGGATAGAGTTTGTCCCGCGCGGGACATTTAAAAATGGGGACGTCTGGCAACGCTGATACAAGATTCGGAGAGAAGAAGAACCTTCACCCATCTGCTTACCAGACGAAAAGAATGTTTTATCAAGTATTTTTTATAAAGAAAAAAAAACGCAATTTCGTTGCCTATAAAATTTATTTATGACTATTTTTTTTAATAAACTATAAGTAAAATTATTGTTCATGTTTCACAAACGTGTTTACAAAATAAATTTGAATGTTTAATATACTCGTAAATCAAAAATATGCTGTATAAGAAATATGCAAAAGGTAGTGTTACCGGCTTTTTCTGTTCACTTTTCGTGCGATGAGTTTAAGAGTTCAAACATAAAGATTTCTTCAGAACTGTCCTTATACAGTTCGTAAGCCGTCGCACGAGCATAGGTGCATTATTTTCATTGCACGAGGAGTCGTCAAATCGTTTTTGTCATCGTAAGATTGTTCCCAATATGAAACAAAAACGCCTAAACCCTGATAAAACTATAAAAATAAATAGTAACAATAAGGAACGACCGTTTACTTCGTATTATTTTTACCAATTACGTTTGCGGCTGACCAACCAGTTAACATCGCCATGCATGCTTGACTAACTTCCGCGAGCTCTTGGTAGGATAACGCACGCAGTAAAAATACAAGTCGGAAATATACCGGCCCGATTAATCACGCACTGCACTTTTATTTCTTGCTAAATGATTGCGAATAGATTATATTCTCACAGGTGCACGCACACAAAAATTCACTACCTCCATCCAAGGAACGGACCCAATAAACTTTTCAGAGTTAGTTTCTAATGTCTATGCAAGACAGCAAATTACCACACACTCAGTGATGTTCAGTATATCTTAGTACAGTCCAGTGCCGAAGATAATCAACAGAAACACTACTGCTGATGTCTAACTCATTAAATCCAACATCGTACCTTTGATTTCGTACATAACACATTTGACCCTTTCATGGAACGTTTATGTACATACAGTAATCCATTATAATAATATAAATGCGAAGAGTGTCTGTCTGCCTGTCCGTTACCTCTTTATGCTTAAACCGATGAACCTATTTAATTGAAAAATAGAGATATAGTTTGGTTTCCGGGAAAATACAGTATATGGTTTATATCCCAGTAATCAATCTTAAAAGAGGAGAAAAGGGGGTGGGCTTTAAATCAATCAATAAAACCACACAGTAGAAATTGCGGGTATCTGTGTTAGAAATAACATAAATCACACATCTCAATTTATTCAGTATCAAACCATAAAAAATGCTATTAAATCGTAAGTATTAACTACAGGATCATATTAATCCTACTTACACAAATAAATGGGAAAGTTTGTATGTCTGTTACTCAATCACACAAAAACTACTGAACGAATTACATGTGGTAGGGATATAGTCGGACCGACACGCACAATGAGGACTGCAGTCACCCTAGTTAGGGATGCAAAGTCTTTTGAAATATCGATATTTATATCGAAGTCAGGAAAATATCGATATCCGATATATCGACCATTTTAACTCGATATTATCGATATATCGATATTTTTTCCTTTTATTGCTTTGTATTAAGTTTACAAAGCAAAAACCTAAATTAAGGAAGCAAAGGTTTCCGAAATATCGATATTTATAATGTGGGCAGGTAAATATCGATATCAGATCCGATATATCAGCCATTCCAACATTTCCAACACGATGTTTATAGATATTTATTTTTATAGCGCTGTAAGAAGTATCAAATCAAAAGCAATTTCGAATCAAAGATATTAATTGTGTTCAAAATGTTAAAACATCAGGGGAGTGCCCATGGATTCAGAATAGGGTGAGCCCAAAGCTTCCAAAATTACTACACCTATCTTACTTTCTTGACTTGGCGAGCTTAAAAAAATACGATTTGTATAAGATTCTTAATTTTATTTTGTGTTATATTACAATTAAATTTCAATTAATCAGTAGTTGACAATTATCTAGAAAGAGAGGCAAGGATTTTATTTAAGTGCATGAGTTACTATTAGCTATACGATTATACCTATATACGTTGGTGTCGATTCTGGCATGATTATCTTAACTTAAAACTAATTTTAACATCAGTCTCTCCTTTTCATTCTGTATAGAGAATGACAAGGATACACTGTTGTCAAATTTAATTTAAGGTTTAGAGAATTATGCCAGAATCCACACCAGTTTAGTATATTTCTTAGGGTTCAAGATTTTTTTAATACATCTATAAGCTCTTGCGATTTCAAAGCAATAGTTGTTTCGATATTATTCAATTTAGATAGTCATAGCAGGTAAATTAATTGATATTATTGTGTTCAAATTTAGTCTTCGAAATATCGATATTTTGGAATTTCCGATATCGATATTATCGATATCAGTGAATTTTAAATATCGATATAAATATCGATATTCCGATATATCGTTGCAACCCTAACCCTAGTGCGTGACAAGAGGGTGGGTGTGGACGCGGCTCCCGTTTCCGAATGTCCGCGCGATATAGTTTATGACCTAGTGTACGGGACGCCGGGCTGTCGCAGTAGCGGACAGTTACCGACTCGTACTGAGGGGGTGGAGGAAGTTACACGCAGGAGTCTTGACTGTAGTGGACTGTAGTTTCGGCGAATAAAACCCCTGGTGTTCGGTATTGAAGAAATCGGTGGGCGCTGATAATGGATGGCCGGTGAGAGGAGGCTTCAGGTCCAGAGTGAACCGCTTGGTTGTTTCTTCCTGTTCCTTAGGGTAGGAGCGCCTGTCGCTGAATGCATGTCGGGGCATGTTCCGACTCGAATTTTATATGCTAGGACTGAGCTGGCCAGCGATCCATTACCTCACCCACGCTATACTTTATTTTTCATTTTCTCAAGATTTACAATAGTGCGAGCTTAAAACTAATTGTACATACATCGGGCATACATTTGGGCATATTTTTAACATAGTTATGTGTCCGTAAACACGATATTTTAGGTGTGGCGCGCAAAAAATAGGTCTCCGCAATATTTATACTTTCCCCCTCCATAGGGCTTCGCCCTGCCACGGGGCTTCGCTGCCCCACCCGCGCGCTCCGGGCGCGCCGGGTGGGGAGCGCAACATGTCTCAGAAAACGGTTCTATACAAACATGTTTCTTCTCCTACACAGTACATTTTTACACTTATTGATGCGATACCTATTTATTTACGTAGCCCTATGTGTTACCTATCTAATACAACAAGTTTCTTACAAGAATATTAATAAACAACAGCTCTACGGCCCTATAAAGTTTGCAAATTAAAAGGTCTTAAAAAACCTACTTATACTCGCTTAATGTCTAACTATCATACACCATTTTAAAGAAGAAGTAAAAACACATAAAATGACATCATTATTATAACAATTATACCTATATCCTATTGACTATTCATAAAAAACTATTCCCGATATTTTCCTTAATTACGCTTAAACTACTAACACGATTCATACAAAACTTCGATATATTATTCCTATAACTACCTACTATCTAATAAGACATAAAATAAATCAATCAAAACATAAAACATACTATTATCGAAAATTGTCAACTCAGGCAAAATCCTATAAGACGTGTGACAAGGACAACCTATTGTCTCCGTCCCTCCTATAGGTCGGAACTATCAGTATTCTGACTAGTTTCCCCGCGCCACCGCTTGGCGTCGTGGCGATCGTTTAGATAAAGTCTTATAAGATTATTGGAGAGAACGGGGCGGAATATCGCTCTGAACTATCAATTTTACAATGGTTTACTATGGGCAGAGCTATCTATTGTTACGATATCCGACTCATTCTAATAAGACAACAAGGGGATGATATTTTTAATGCGTATACAAACGATTCATGTGAGATTATAGATACATTTTTATACATTGCTCTCGTATCGTTGTAAGTTCATTTTCTCTCGCTTCGGTCGTCGCGTACACCTAGAATAACAACATAACATACTTTTTATCCCGGAAACATGTTAGGTTCCTACGGAATTCTCCAAAAACTTAAGTTACCGCGGACAAAGTCGCGGGCGGCCGCTAGTCAGAGTTAAATAAATAATATCAGCATTCAAGATACTACAAAACTGTTGATTTATGTAACTGCTTTGCTTGTAGTGTATCGTTGAGCAGAGAGAATGATATGATTAACCTTTGGGACGGTGTTGCCAACAAAAATATAATAATCGATTTCCTTAATAATTATAACATGACTGAAAGGAAAAAAACCTACGCGCTAACTATACAATGCTTGCAAATAGAAAGTCTGTCAAGTGTAGTTTCAGATAATGTAAGTAGGTTAGCAACCTGTCACTAGGCCTATTTCTAGAAACAAACAGAATGGACGCCCAGAATTAGACCACCTAATGCCAAAAATGACAAACATCGTAGGGCTTAAGTAAGGTGTACAGATAAGTTATAATAAAACCGTACGGTGATTTTAGTGAAATCTTATATATAAAATTCTCGTGTCACAATGTTAGTTACCATACTTCTCCGAAACGGCCTGACCGATCTTATCCGACCGATCTTTCTGAGAATCGGCTACTATCTATTTTTCATATCCTTAAGTGATAATGGTTGTCCACCTGTAACGTAGTGTTCTCATATGGGTTAGGAGGAATGTTATCCCTAGGAAATTGATAGAACACTACGTTACACACCGCTAAAATTTTTTTATAATGTAAAATACATTCAACCCTAAATTTTCTCTTCTACCACCTGACCCTATTTTTATGGCGGTACGAAGTTCGCCGGGTCAACTAGTGGTTAATAAAAAATAGATAAACGACAAGATTATTTTTTTGCTAGCAAAATTAGATGCTAAAATAAGAATATGAAAAATATAAAGAAGTAAAAATTACTTGATTACACTTTAATCATTGCGCCTTGTATTTATGTTATAGCTCAATTTCCATTTTACTCGGTTTGACGTAGTTAGTCCTATTCGTATTTTTTTCACGATTTCAAAAAAGGTTCTATTTGCAAATGCAAAATGATATGAAAATGTTATTCAACGCTTAGTTCTATCTAAGTGTGTGACCATTTGCGAATGGGACCAAATGCGAATGATACAAACTGCGTCAAACCCAAATCCTCATCCTCCGGCTGCAAGGTTATGTCAGACTCCTACCGTCTAAAACACACCAGTATTTCATGCTTATGGCCGGAAGGGCCTTACAAGCTTCATCTGAAGTAATCATCCTCTGAGATGGGGATGATGCAGTACTTACTGCAGTAACTGTAACCCAAGGTGGGGCCCATCACTACAGAACGGTCGTTGTATTTATATTGCAAGAAGGATAAATATTTAGCATGAACTCCTAAAATATTAACAGAAAAAATAATAAAAAACTACAAGGGACTAATTAAATTAGTAGGCCTCCATAGTGATAGTTTTGGCGGACGCCTGACACTCCCATTGGTAAGGAAAATCAATAAACAGGGGAATACCAAGTAACCACTAACATGAAATGTTAATATCACCAAATTCGCGCTCATTTATATATAACTCCTCCAG